AGTCACTCATCCTGTTTATGAAGTGCGGCCTCATATCTGGTCCGAGTGATAACCTTTTTCTTTTATTTGTCTCTTTCCTTCTCTTGCTCATGTCGACGGTGGTAATCAGTGCCCAATGGTCACTACATAAACTGTGCACAATGTGTGTACTGGCATCCGTGTCCTGTGCATTCAGCAGGAGAGCATAATCTAATCTTCCTCCTCTGAGGTGAGTTGGCTGTTCATCACCCAGGACCCTAAGGTTTTCACTTCCCCTGACAAAGAGTGACAGTTTCCGTCCATTGACATTGGGCTGATGACAGTTGGCACCAAAGTGTGGGTGTCTGGCATTCAGGTCACCGACCAGCAGGGTAGGTTCTTCATTAACAAACTCAGGCAGTGCGTCAAGGTCAAGTTTACTCTGTGGCACATATAGGTTGATTATATGTAGAGCATTATTGTTTAAGTAAAGGGTTACTCCCAGTGATTCAAACTCATCCCCCATGTGCAGGTCATCAATAATCTGTGCGGGAATGTTGTTATTTACATAAGTGATGAGACCCCGTTTTCTTTCCCCATGGGGCAGGGAGAACTTGCGATAACCGCTGAACCTTGGGTTGAAGTCATCACCTACCATTGTCTCCTGTAGCACTATGACGTCGGTTTGGTGTTCACGAGCGTATTGTATGATGTCATTAATTCTATTGCGAACGCCATTGCAGTTCCATTGTAGGATAGTGAGACTTTCTTCAGCATGGTTATCCATTGTGGAGGTGTTGGTCATCAGATGTACTGTGTGCGGTGTTGTTGCTGGTGAGAGTGTGTTCACTGGTGGTGTTGTATGTGGTGTTGCACCACCGTCATGTGCTGGTGGTACTGTTTGTATGCCAGTGCCAGTGGTCAATGGTGTTGTGTACACTAGTGTCGTTGTGTTCACTGGTGGTGCTGTTGTCTTCACTGGTGTTGTGTTCACTGGTGGTGTTGTGTTCACTGGTGGTGCTGTTGGTGGTGTTGTGTTCACTGGTGGTGCTGTTGTGTTCACTGGTGGTGGTGTGTTCATTGGGTCGCACTGAGTTCACTTGGGTAGCACTGAATTTGCTGTTATGTGCCGTGGCTCGTGTTGCATCCCCATGCACCAAGTTGCAACCTGCTGGACTCGCCTGAGGCAACTTCAGGCCCTGCAGAATGTGAAGTATGTCCTCCTGGGTCTTCTGGATTGTACATAGGGTATTCTCAAGTTTATTTTGCTTGCTTATTAGTTCTTGCATGAGTGGGTGATTTTTTATCATGTGGTTAATCATTGCTTCCATATCGGGCGGCATTGTTTTATCTGGACCCAGTGAGGTGTTGACTGGTGAGTGGGGAGGGGGAGTGGTAGGGTGGGGGGAAGGGAGGGTCGCCTGAGAGGCGGAAGGGCTGGTTGACTGGGAGGCGTTAGGGGGTATGGGTGATGAGGCAGGAATGGTGTTGTTGGGTGGGGTAGGGTTGGGGTTAGTGAGGGAGATAAGGTTGGGGTTAGTGAGCGGGGTAGAGGTAAGTTGGTTTGTGAGAGAAATGGGGTCTGGTTGGGCCTGTGCGGGGTGGTGGTGGGTCACTCCACCACCACCCCAGGCTGGTGTCTGCCTACTGGAGGCTGGACCCTGGCTTGCTGTGGTACTGTTCACGGAGCCATTCCCGCCCCTGTTTACTGGTCCACCTGCTGTCTGCGTCTGCGTCGGTGTCCTTCTCAAGCCCTGCCAGTCAGGCCTCCTGCTGCAATATCTGTTCCAGGCATGGTGGGCCTGCTTGCAGTTGACACATTTAGGTATTACCCCGCTACCCCCACCCTGTTTAAGCTTGTCCAGACACTGCTTGGTGTCGTGAGAGCCACTGCAACACCCACACCTAATTGGGCGATCACATTGCCACGTTCTGTGATCCCACCGTTGACAGTTGCCACACAAGGACGGGCTGCCAATATACCTCTCCACTTTGCACGCCCTCATGCCTGGCATTTTAATGACTTGGGGCAGCTCTCCCTTCCACATAGCAATTGCTTGATTTTTGGGCAGTCCCCCTGGTCCAGTGTTGCGCTCGACCCAAACAATCTCGGTATAGTCCTTGAGATATTTCACGTCAACATGAATGCTATAGTTCTTAATTATAATTTTAGTTTGTCTTGTCTGTGGGTTTGCTTCTAATAATTTGACATTCTTACCTAGATACTCGAGACTGGTCTCTGTGAAGTACTTCAGGGCACTGTAACCCTGCACCCGTGCACTAACATTGCCACCTACACACCTGCTCTCTATACAATACTTTCCTCTGTGGGCGCGGGCGGCCTCAATAATCCATCTAAACTTCTCTGATGCTGTCATTACCCCTGCAGGAAAGATTAGGGTGTGCCACTCACTGTCTTCGTCGTGTCGTCGTCGTTGTTGTTGTTGTTGTTGTTGTTGCTGAGGTTGCTGTTGCTGCTCATCCTGTCGCCGTGACTTATCCCGTTTCCTGCCTCTTCTACCTTGGACTACTTGGAAACCTTCATCGTTTATTGTAGAGTCTCCTGTATCAGTACTGTTGGAGGGCCCAGGGCTGGGATCCCGACCGGAGGGCCCAGGGCTGGGATCCCGACCGGAGGGCCCCGGGTGTGGACCATCACCCAGGGGCCCCTGGCGGGGATGGGGGTCGTTATGGTTCCCGGGTACACCAGCCATGGTCACTTGTTGTTGTTGTCTCTGAGAAGTCTTACTTCTCGTGTCAGCAACCATCTATTTGCTGCGGCTCACTTCATGTGTTGTTGGGTGGTATGTCTTCAACACTGCACTCTGCCCTACGTACGCACACATGTACATATATACACCTACAAGGCACAAGGTTTACACTCACACGTAGTGTAGGGGTACTCTATGGTGTGCCCTGGCAGTCTCTTGTGTAAACACACTAGTCGCGCACACAGACCACGACCTTGGGTAGGGAGGGCACAAAGGCTATTTTTCACGCGCGTGGGGCCCCAGGCTTCAGGTACCGCGAGGCGGCCCAACCTACGTCAGAACTCCTACCTCACAACTTCCCCTCAGCAGGCCTCGATATTGCCACATTAACAATTGCTGCCTTAATTTCTGTCCAATCCACACGTCTAGGGCCTACCACAGTTGGTAGGAGGGGCGGTGCACACTTAGTGCCTCTGTAGCTGATCTACTTGGCGCACTGAAGACTAGACCTTAGGCCTAGGCCTATGTCAAACAGGAGGATGGATACATCCTGCCTGCTCCTCCTCTAGCTTGAGGACAACTGCGTCCATCTTTCTTTTTGTCCTGTACTGTCTTCTCACCCTTCACCATGGCCGATGGTGAAGGGCCGTGTGCCCCCTCTTCCTGAATGGGTAGACCCCACGCGGTTTTAGTGGGCATGGGAGCTGGTATTCGTTTTGGTGGGGGTTTCGGCTCCGCTGTTGGCGTGGTGGGGTTCGTTTGAAGCCTTTTGAGCCTTTCAGGGCATTTCACTGTTGTGGTGAACAGTGGACTGTATAATAATTGCCTTTACTTCATACTACACAAACCTTTGGGAGGTTACTTGATTCTCGATTTATCTGATTAAAATTTAAACTAAAATTTACTTGCTGGCTGGTCAGTAAGCTATTGTGGGGACCTTAATATTCCTCCAGAGGTTGGTAGGCCTTAACTATGTATAGAGGTTGATAGGACTTAATCCACCAAAATTAAAAAAAATGCCTTAAAATATAAGCCTAACACCAAACCCAAAACTACTGTATTTTCCGTACGACTTTCAAAATGTGACTTTCGTTGTAGTAATCTGAACGTTTAAATATTATTTTTTGTATTTATATGCTTTAAATAATAATTGACTACTGCAGTCTCCGTGTAGTGGTAAGACACTCGCCTGGCGTTCCGCGAGCGCTATATGTCATGGGTTCGTATCCTGGCCGGGGAGGATTTACTGGGCGCAATTCCTTAACTGTAGCCTCTGTTTAACGCAACAGTAAAATGTGTACTTGGATGAAAAAACGATTCTTCGCGGCAGGGGATCGTATTCCAGGGACCGTAGGATTAAGGACTTGCCCGAAACGCTGCGCGTACTAGTGGCTGTACAAGAATGTAACAACTCTTGTATATATCTAAAAAAAAAAGACTATTGAAATTGATTTAATAATATAGTTGAATTGTGAACAAATCAACAAGAGCCGTGATGAGGGTTCGAACCTATGCACTGAGTGTTCCCAGGCACGCTCTAGTTTGACTGTGTCACGACATGGTAAAATAATTGCAACCTGAGGCCAGATTGAACTCACAAGGCTCCCGAGGGTGCCTGGGAACACCCAACACATAGGTTCGAACCCTCATCACGACTCCAGTGGGTTTGTTCATTGATATTTGATCATTAGTTCCGGTGGTGTAGTGGTTAAGACACTCGCCTGGCGTTCCGCGAGCGCTATGTCATGGGTTCGTATCCTGGCCGGGGAGGATTGACTGGGCGCAAATCCTTAACTGTAGCCTCTGTTTAACTCAACAGTAAAATGGGTACAATTGGTTGTTAAACGTTTTTTCGCGGGAGTCGTATTTCAGGGAACATAGGATTAAGGACTTAAACGACCCGAAACGCTACGCGTACTAGTGGTTGTACAAGAATGTAAGAACTTTTGTATATATAAATATAAATAAATAAATAAATATATCACGCTAATGTTATTTCTCTAGTTAGTTTAGTTCATTTATTATGCACCCAATCAGTGGAAAGGGTTACAGAGGCACATAATGGGCTCAGGGACTGAACCCCACAATTCATTTAGCTAAGCCAGTTACAATGTCTGTGTAATTGAATCATATATTGTCTGTCTGCGTTAAAGGTTACGGAACTAAACAAAAACTTCAGTTTAATAAAACTGAATTACGCTTACAATCAATCAGTTACCTAACTAGCTGATCAAGTTACGATGATGATTAAAAAATAATATAAATAATTTAATTATAAGTAGAATGAAAATGTTTGTGTTAAAGATGATAATATTGAACATAGGCTCGTCGTCCCAGTCCACAACACGGGAGCGGCGGCTTCACGCTGTGTACAGCGGTAGGGAATTATTTTGATAATTGAGTGAACCGGTAGCAGTTGTGGGTAACCTGAAACGTTTTGCTGTGAGGTGATCAGGGATGGACTGTGTGCTCTGAAGAAGCTGGGAACACGAGGCTAGTTAAGGAACTAGAGGCTAGTTCCAAAGCTCTGTGAGAAGCCACGAGGAAGTTAGTTCCTTGTGAGTCATGAGGTTGTCAGCCCCCTTGAGAGGAGCCCTAAAGTTGCCAACCCTCTGTGAGAAGCCTTGAGGTTGCTAGTCCCTGTGAGAAGCCCTGAGGTTGCTAGCCCCTGTGAGAAGCCCTGAGGTTGCTGGCCCCTGTGAGAAGCCCTGAGGTTGCTAGCTCCTGTGAGAAGCCCTGAGGTTGCTAGCTCCTGTGAGAAGCCCTGAGGTTGCTAGCTCCTGTGAGAAGCCCTGAGGTTGCTAGTCCCTGTGAGAAGCCCTGAGGTTGCTGGCTCCTGTGAGAAGCCCTGAGGTTGCTAGCTCCTGTGAGAAGCCCTGAGGTTGCTGGCCCCTGTGAGAAGCCCTGAGGTTGCTAGCTCCTGTGAGAAGCCCTGAGGTTGCTGTCTCCTGTGAGAAGCCCTGAGGTTGCTAGCTCCTGTGAGAAGCCCTGAGGTTGCTGGCCCCTGTGAGAAGCCCTGAGGTTGCTGGCCCGTGTGAGAAGCCCTGAGGTTGCTGGCTCCTGTGAGAAGCCCTGAGGTTGCTAGCTCCTGTGAGAAGCCCTGAGGTTGCTGGCCCCTGTGAGAAGCCCTGAGGTTGCTGGCCCCTGTGAGAAGCCCTGAGGTTGCTAGCCCCTGTGAGAAGCCCTGAGGTTGCTAGCCCCTGTGAGAAGCCCTGAAGTTGCTAGCCCCCTATGAAAAGCCCTGAGGTTGCTAGCCCCTGTGAGAAGCCCTGAGGTTGCTAGCCCCTGTGAGAAGCCCTGAGGTTGCTAGCCCCTGTGAGAAGCCCTGAGGTTGCTAGCCCCTGTGAGAAGCCCTGAGGTTGCTAGCCCCTGTGAGAAGCCCTGAGGTTGCTAGCTCCTGTGAGAAGCCCTGAGGTTGCTAGCCCCTGTGAGAAGCCCTGAGGTTGCTAGCCCCTGTGAGAAGCCCTGAAGTTGCTAGCCCCTGTGAGAAGCCCTGAAGTTGCTAGCCCCTGTGAGAAGCCCTGAGGTTGCTAGCCCCTGTGAGAAGCCCTGAGGTTGCTAGCCCCTGTGAGAAGCCCTGAAGTTGCTAGCCCCTGTGAGAAGCCCTGAGGTTGCTAGCCCCTGTGAGAAGCCCTGAGGTTGCTAGCCCCTGTGAGAAGCCCTGAAGTTGCTAGCCCCTGTGAGAAGCCCTGAAGTTGCTAGCCCCCTATGAAAAGCCCTGAGGTTGCTAGTCCCTGTGAAAAGCCCTGAGATTGCAAGCCCCTGAGAGAAGTCATGAGGGTGCCAGCCCTCTGTGAGAAGCCCTGAGATTGCCAACTCCTTGTGAAAAGCCCTGAGGGGGGCCATCTCTCCATGAGGAACCCCAAGCCAGCAATCTGTGATTGCGACCTTCAGTGGCGCCACCAAAGTCTAAAAGATTCCTGACTAGCACAAGCCGTTGTAATTCCAATACTTGGTACGTAGCTCGTGCGATACGAAGTTCTTATTCTTCTTTATGGTACAAGCAGTTTGCATGAAGGTTTTCTCCTCCTGATGTATTCACAAGTGGTAATGTTGAGAGACGCATCACACTGGCGTGTCAATGTTGATACTGTACTACATCAGAGGTGTTAATCCTACATAAAGTCAGCAGGCTCCAAACACTGTAGAAAATTATATATATTTTTGTGGATTATAAAATAGTCATAGGAATATTTAAATTTTTTTTTATGATGTGAAATTTATGATGAATAAAGTGGATAATTATTAACATTTGACAGTTTGTTGAATGATTGTGTTAGGCTTTCATCAGTATGTACTTTTGTATGTTTATAGTATAATGGAGATCATGATTCATTACATTCTATGCTGGATTCTTGGAGGGATTCCTTCAGTGGCTCCCTGAGGCTACCCACTGGGTTAACAGGGAGACACTGAGGGGATTCACCAGAAAGATGCATTTCTTTACATTTAATGCTTTATTTTTTTATTATAGATATTTCCTGTCTGTACAAGTTTGTGATTCACTGCCAAGATGAAGGACCAGTATCGTGAGACTGATGTTGTCCGCAACATCCTGGAAATTCAGTTTGGAGTGCTGTCAGCACAGGACATGCAACAGCTGAGTCATGCACATGTTGTGTCTTCAGAACTGTACAGCTCTACAGTGGGCTCCCGTCAGCCAGCTCCCCATGGAGTGCTTGACCGCCGCATGGTGAGTTCCACAAGCATACAAAGTTTTACAATGAACTGTTCTGTTGTCATTTTGCTCAGCCAAAGTTCTGAATTAACATTGTAATGTATTGTATTTGACTACATGAAAAATAGAACCAACTAAAATTTTATTTGTTAGATGAGATTTTATGTGGGAAAGTTACAACACTCCTACTCCTATTAATGACTTGATGAGGGTCCAGGTCAGACTGACACATTGTCATTGTTGCTGTTGTTGATGGCTTAAGGGGCAGCTACAGCACCAAGCCATATGTACCCTGTCAATCCAGGCATAGCTGGAGAGTTCCAATAAGCCAACATTTGAAACTCCCACTGGTACATGGTATTCACAATCAAAATTTGAGGCTTCCAGCAAACAACTGCCATCTTGAAAAGTGATTTACAAATTTTTGGGCATTTTCCTTTACTCAGGACATGGTTTTTCAACAATTCTGGAAAAAACCTTGTTTTGATTACTATTTTTCTGTGATTGTACAGACCATGTCTTATGTAACCCTTGTGCAATCCAAGGGTTAAGGGCACAACCTAATGTAGTTGCTACATAGTTTTCCCGGCTTGGTGCCTTCTTTGATAATTACTTACTTAATGATGTAATTAGAAAGGACCTTTTCATTCAAGCTCAAAACCCTACATCTAATATGGACTAGGTACTACATTTTTTTTTTTTGCAGGGTACTAGCCAAAAAGATGTAACGTGTGAAACCTGTGCTAAAAACCTTACGGACTGTATAGGCCACTACGGCTACCTGGATCTTGCCAGACCTGTCTTTCATGTTGGCTACTTCAAAAACACGATTCATATTCTTCAAAACATTTGCAAAGTGAGTTAATAATTGTTTTGCTCATTGCTAATGCCTCTTTATGTTGAACAGATAAGGTAAATCTTGAATGATATATTGTGAAAGTGTTGTTGAAATTTGCTATTTTATTTTAGTGACTGGCACTTCCTGATATTTTAAGTGATAAGTTGGCCACATAGTTTGTTTCTTGATGTTGAAAAATTTATGCAGCACTAACATAACTGTATTGCAGACCTGTGCATATGTTTTGCTGAAACCTAAGGACAAACCTGGCTTGTGTGAACAAGCCAAAAGAATCAATTCATATCTCCAGAAGAAAGCTCTCTATAAACGGATTAATGAACTATGTAAGAAGGTGTCATTGTGCGCCTACTGCGGGGCCCAGAACGGCATAGTGAAGAAGCTCCCTCCACTCAAAATTTTACATGAAAGGTTTAGGAGTGTGAAGAAGGGCGACCCTATCCTTACGAATTATTTTTGTGAGTTCTTATGGTGTTCATTCTGTACTAACCTAGTTCTTATCACTAAGTTATATATGCAGGAGATGAACCTTTTGGGCCACCACCTTCCGACCCATAATTGACTAATGTATAGATTCCAGAGCATATTGGGATGTGTCATTTCTATACTTAAAGCTGTGAATAGAGTCTGCCTCTACCACTTCACTTCTTAGTGCATTCCATTTGTTAACTATATGGCCTCTTGATGCTTAATGTATACTCAGTATGGACTAATTAAGCAAATTTCTTACCTGGTGTCAGAACGTTAGTTAGAAATCTTTCGAAAACAATGAATTAAAACTAAATAATTAGTTGATCATGTTCATGGGAAAATTGTGTGCTAAATAACCAAATCAGTTACTGTAGCATGACCTTAAAAAAAAAAAAGTCACCTTATGTACACATGCTGGAACATTAATGTATATTTTGCAATTGCCTTCAATCACTAGTTGGTACTTAATGAAAGTTGCTCTGTAATTATGGTTTTGGCTTCAGGAATGGGTAAAATATTAAAAAAAATGATTAAATGCAGCAGAGGCAATGGAATTGAATTAAAGTGGATAATTTGGCTGGGATCTGTACGAGGTTATTGTAAATTAATTAGGATAATTTCTTTGGATTAAAATTTAGGTAAATGTGGTGATTGTAATAACTACTGGTATATTGGCTGCAAAAAGTTCTCAGCAACAATGGGGTCCTTTGACAAGCCGTTGGCTTCGTGCGCCCATTGAGGCCACTAGAGATGGTGGCCCTTCTCAAGGCTTCCTGTCCCTACTGAGGCCACTAGAGATACTGGCCATTAGGTAAATTCAGATAAATTAGTCTTTTAAGTGTAGTGGATAGAATGTTTAGCAAAATATTGTTTGGAAACGTACAACCAGTAACTGGTAAATTGGTTAATGATGAAGGATGTAGTTTCCATAGTGAAAGTAGTTCATGAACCAGATACTTGCACTGAGATATGTAATGAAGCAGTCTGTCGTCACATTCTCTGGACCACACTTTTGATGCCATCGACCATGGTGGTCTGTTACTCTTGTGAAATTTAATGCTTAAACTAATGAGCATCTGCCTCAATAGGTTGAGTAAGTTGTCTAGGTTTGAATGCTTCTGGTTAGGCAAAAAACTTCAAATTTGACACCTCTTAAATCATGAGAATTAATAGACTGAAGAAGGAATGCTATGAAGATCATAAGGTGGATATAATTTTTGTGATTTTTTGAAAAAAAGCATATTACAATAGTAATGGATGTTTGGAGAGTGATGAGCTTTTATGGAGTTGGTGAAATGTTAAATTGTGTGAAGAGAAGTCCAGGGATGCAGGTCTGATCCCATCGTACGGCCTCTCATCATGGTCTGGTCAGTAGTGTGTATGCTTGGGCAGTCCAGGGACATGGGTTGATCCCATCGTACAGCCTCTCATCATGGTCCTATCGGTAGTTTTTATTTTAGTGAATATTCTACCACAGATGTGGTCATTCATTTACACTGGTAACCAGCATTTACCTGAATTTACCTGAGGGGCCATTAATACTAGTGGCCTCAATGAGGACAGGAAGCTGATGGCTTGTCAAAGGTCCCCCCCATTTGACCTGATTATCTTTTCCAGCTAAATTTTAAAACCCAGCAGAGTTTTGCCGTTTATGGCTTCAGCGAGTAGGCGTTAGCATATATAGTGTCTTCAGACTTTCATGGACAGGGTCAGAGATGTGTTCAACATCATATAGTGCAGTGTGCAACTTCTCTTTTGAAGTATCTTAACACTTTTGATCATTGCTGTACAATTTTTCACTAATTCCACATGAAAGATATTTAATTTTCACACCTTATTTTTATGGGATTGTCAGGGCAGTAGCTACCTTGGGAATTATTGGAAGGATAATGTTAGTTGCTACCATAGCTACGGACAACTATTGGGAGGACCTCGTCGGTGGCTCCTCTAGCTGCGGGGAGCTACTGGGAGGGTCCTATCAATAGTTACTTTAGCTGCAAGGAGATATTGGAGGGTACAGTACCATCAGTAGCTACCCAAGTTGCAGGTAGCTACTCCAGTACTCAACCAGAAAAGGTTGTTTCATTACATTTAACGCTTGATTTTATATTCTGTTTTCATCTGAGCAGCCCAGTTTGACACGGCGTTAGAATACAACAAGGAGCTGGAGGCACAGTTGTCTTCAAATGTTATTGAGTTTCTCAACCCTAGTCAAGTTTTGGACCTGTTTGAGAGGGTAAGACTGAGTCTTATGTTTCATTTGAAAAGTTCATGTAAAAGTTTATAACGTATCAAAGAAAGTTACTGTGGCAAAAATACAAATGAAGACTTACAAGCCAGATGATAAGCCATATATATAGGAAGCAATAGTGTGTTGTAGCTAGTATGAGAGGTAATAGTGTGTTATAACTAGTATGGGAGGTAATAGGCATTATAGCTAGTATAAGGCTTGAGATTGGGTGAGTTCACTGGGTTACTGTTATGTTGCTATTAACTCCTTGTGTTAATAACAGCACGAGTTCATCAATGTATGGGTTGTGTCAAGTTGAATTTGCTTTACTGTACAATATTGACACTTTGGTGTAATCATACATTATGGGTTCTTCAGATCCCTCTGGCTGACCTGCCTCTGCTGTGTATGGACCAGCAGTTTTCACACCCTAAGGATCTTATACTTACTCGTCTTTTGGTTCCGCCGAATTGTATTCGTCCGTCTGTTATATCAGAACTGAAATCTGGCACGTGAGTAGTTAATTTGTATGTCCTGGTTGTGGGTATTAATTATTACACGTATATTCTGTGGCGAGCCCCCTTTCGGCTCCCCGGAGCTATACCGGGCTGATGTGTGTATATATTAGACAGTGGCAACAGTCGATCGATGGAGTTCTAGCCTACCGGGGACCACGAGCCATAATCTTTCACCCTCAGAGAGGCACGAGGTGCAATGGCCTATAGACACCCCCATGTAGTTGGAAGCAGTCTATGTCTGCCTTCTACCAAGTCAGGGCCCCCAGAAAGCTAGGAATCCCACAACAAACTACAGGTGTTTAAAAATTGCAAACCAAAAGCAAAACGAGCAAGCAGAACTCCCCAATCAGAAAACAAGCAAACAAGCATGACATCACCAAGCCGCCGAGCCACTGTCTGCACAGCTTCCCCCTCCATGGGAGATGGAAGGAAGGGGGGGCAGACCTCCCACGCCAGCTACCCAACCCCAGTTCAGAGGCTGAATATCAAAAACACAAAAAAATGCCGACTAGAGGGAGGCAGGGATGCCGGGAAGCCTCTGGTTCTCACCCAGAAAATGGCGTTTCATTACATTCAATGCTGGTTTTCTGAGAACCCCTTTGGCTTCCCAGAACTACCTAACCAAAGTTAAAGTAAAAGCGGGATTTATATAGTAAAATATGTGAACCATTGCTATACTCAAAAGTATGGTGTGCATATTAGTGATTCAGTTATGTTCATAAAAGCAATAAACAAATAGCTTTACTGTTATTACACTATATACACACATTATATATAAGTATCTGCATGTTTTCCTCACCATAACAAACCACTAAGTTGGTATGGTGAGTCAAAGCAACAAGAAGAGTGACACACACCAGCCAGCAAATGCCACCTCCTTCCCTCCCTCACCAACTTCTCACTCGCCAACACTCCTCCTCCCGCCATACCGTTTTTGCTTTTATTACACTATATACAAACGTTATATATAAGTATCTACATGTTTTGATCACTATAACTGTACAACTAAGCTGATATGGTGAGTTCAGACAATAACAGAGGTCGCCACTCAGTCAGCTGATGCTCCCTCTCTCGCTCGCCAAAATGGCTCCTCCCAACATACTCCTTTTGCTGTTATTACACTGTATACACACGTTATAGGATTTAGGTGGACTTACCTGCCTCCCGGGTAAATCCCTCTTTTCCTCATCTTTGGTTATGTAGCTCCAGGGAGGTGAATGGGCTCCCCTCAGAAAACTAGCGTTGAATGTAATGAAATGCCATTTTCTGGGTGAGCCCCGAAGGCTCCCTGGCACCCTCCCTTCGCCCGGTTGGCGGTTTTTGCACTGTTTTGATACTTTTCTCTCAAAGTATGAAAAACCCCCTCTCGCCGTCTTTTCTCTTGAAAGGACCAAACCCCCTCTCCCCCTCCCTTGGGAGGCTGCACAGACGAGCGATGCGGTGGTGGGGTTTGATGTATGCTTGTTTCCTTGGGATTGGAGGGAGTTCTGCATCTCCGTTCGGTTTTCGGTTGTAATTTGAGGTTTGTTTTGTCATGCTTTCCTTTCTGGGTGCCTAACCTCGGTCGACGGCAGATAAGGAAAAACCCCAAATAGAAGGGGAAGGGGGAATTCTAGGGCCATTGCTCCCTGCGTCTTTCTGAAGGGGCCAGGTTCTGGCTCGTGGTCCCTGGTAGGCTGAACTCGAAAGACTAATGACCCCAATCTAATGAATTGCATATTAGCCCGATAGCTCCAGGGAGTCTCCAGGGCTCACCCAGAAATTTGCGTTTCATTACATTCAATGCTGTTTTTCTGTGGGGAGCCCCTACGGCTCCCTGGAGCTTATCGGGCTAATGTATGTTATGTTAGACCGGGACATTAGCTATGGAGTTCAGACCTACCAGGGACCAGCGCCAGAACCTGGCCCCTTCAGAGAGGTTTCAGGGAGCAATGGCCCTGGAAAACCCCATATGGTTGGGGGTTTTCCTTATCTGCCATCGACCGGGGTTAGGCACCCAGAAAGTTAGGCGTAACAAAACAAACCCCACATGGTAAGAAACTACAACAAAAACCGAACAGAGAGGTAGAAAACTCCCTACAATCCCAAGGAAACTAGCAAACAAGCAAACATCACACTTTACTGCCGCGCCGATCGTCCGCGCAGCCCTCCCCACCCCGGGAGGGGAAGGGGGGAGCCCCGGACCTACCGCGCCGGCTGCCAAGCTTCAGTTCATTCGCTAATGTCAACCGGGATTGACGCTTCTCTGGCCTCAGTTTCCTAGGCGGTGTTTGCCTTGTGTGGCGTTTACTGCCGTGTGTTGTGTTGTGCGGTGGCCAGGAGTACTTCATCAGTGCCGGGGCTGCATGTGCTTAGTGGCTGACTTCCCTAAGCGCCCTGTGAGTACTGCCCTTGCGCAACAGGGTTATCTTCCCTGGGGCGTTCGGGAACCATTCCCGTAGAGGTTCTTGCTGCTCGGCATTTGCCTCGCCCTTGGGGCTAGCTGGGGCTTGGGGCCCTTGTTTGGCCCTGGGTAGGGATTGGTATTGTGCTGGTTAGGGCGTCAAGGTGTTGCGCAGCCTGCCACCTAAGCGGCGGCCGGTTTCTGTTGCCTCTGGAGACGGTGTACTTTTGCGGGGTTTTTCTTTTGTTTTTAATTTTTCATGCCTGGTGGGGGTCTGCCTAGGGTGGTTATAGTTCCACTGGTAGTGTTTGGCGGCCTTCTGCTAGGCCCCGTGATTGTACACGTCTCAGGGGTTTTCAGTGCTATAATCTACCCTCTTGTTATGTTTGGGTTTTCTTAACCGGTTAGCAACACCTTGCCCGGGCTTCCCGTAGTTGTTACCCTACGGGCCCTGGAAACCCCTGTCTGGGCTCGGGGGACCATTGAATGTGTCTTCCGGGTTCCAACCCGTCTTGTACGGGATCGTTGGTTGCTGTTCCCTTGTCTCCGGGTGACAGTCGCCATTTTTACCTCCGTCGTGCTGCCTGTTGGGTCACTGACACCTTGACCCGGAGTCTTGCGAGTGATTCTCTGCTTGTTCTCCAGTACTCTCCTGATGTTATTACTGTTCAGAGTACAGGCGGCATCCATGTTGCAAGCTAGTTGCTGCAACATGCTAGGTTGGTTTCCCACTCGAATGCCCCGTGGCCGCCCCGTTTGGTTAGGTGCTGCTCGCCCCTTTCTCTCTTCCCGGCTCCGGACCGTCTGCGGGTTTCGGGGTCGGGGCGGGGTTTAGTTGCGGCAGAGACTCGGGCGGTTTTCGGGGGCTGCCCCGTTCGGGTTGGGGACGGAGGTTTGAGCCTGTGCCTCCTGCCAAGGCTTCTGGGTCTTACCAGCGGCCCTTTCTTGTTGCCTTTCCCATGGACTCTTGCTTTTCTTTAAGGGCGGAGGGCTTGGAGGACGGCTCTGCCCCGGGGCCTCTGTTGTTGGTTCCCGGGGCTGTGGGGGTTGCCTGCTAGCAGTTCTGGGGCGGTTTTGCCCCTTCCGGGGTTTTTCTGCTGTTGGGCGGCGTTTTTCGCCCTTCCAGTCTGCTAGCTTCCCACATTTGCTGGCGTGTTTTTGTGTATTTAGCGTCAGTCACAGCCCCTGCTGGCGGCCATTTTCGTCTGCCGGTTTCACGGCGTGGCCACCAGGGCGGCGTTGCGGTTTGTTTACATGCGTCTGGGTGTGCGAGCGAGCGTCTCTGGTGAATTTTCAAAAATTTTTCAGGGTTTTTGTTCTCCTGTTGTCGTTTCTTTGTTTTTCTGGTGTTTTCTTGCCGTTGCCTGTTCCTCTGGGAACGTTTGGGTGTTGATTTTGGGTCTGAGCCTATGGGTTTAGGCTCTGTGCCCCTGGCTGGTATGTTTGCTCCCACACCTTGTCCCTCGGTTTTCGGTCTGTTGGGACCGTTTTCCCAGGGCGTTCAGCTGGGGGCTGTGCTTTGCCTTTCAGTGGTGTTCTCCGCCGGCAAATGTGGTGGTTTGGGCTCCCCCTGGTTCGATTCTGGGTTCCTTTGGGTTCCTTGGTTTCGTTCTGGAGGTTTCCTCTTGGGCCCCCTTTTGTGGGTTCAGGGGACTTTGTTTCCTCGTGTGACCCGGTTCTGCCTTTTGGGGTTCCGGGGTCTTCCTGGCTTGCAGACTGAGCTTTTTGGGTCTTGGCACATGTTGTGGTTGTGCTGGGACTTAGTGGTTTTGCTGTCGAGGTGGGCCTTTTGATGCAGTTTTGTGCCTTCTTTGCCTGGCCGACGTAGTGCTCTCTGCCACTAGTCGGCGGCTTGTGCTTTTACAATATATGTCCTCACCTAGTTGTGCTTGTGGGGGTTGAGCTCTGGCTCCTTGGTCCTGCCTCTCAACCGTCCATCAACAGGTAATTACCTAAATGTAATTACCTAAGTGTAGTTACAGGATGAGAGCTACGCTCGTGGTGTCCCGTCTTCCCAGCACTCTTTGTCATATAACGCTTTGAAACTACTGACGGTCTTGGCCTCCACCACCTTCTCACTTAACTTGTTCCAACCGTCTACCACTCTATTTGCGAAGGTGAATTTTCTTATATTTCTTCGGCATCTGTGTTTAGCTAGTTTAAATCTATGACCTCTTGTTCTTGAAATTCCAGGTCTCAGGAAGTCTTCCCTGTCGATTTTATCAATTCCTGTAACTATTTTGTATGTAGTGATCATATCACCTCTTTTTCTTCTGTCTTCTAGTTTTGGCATATTTAATGCTTCTAACCTCTCCTCGTAGCTCTTGCCCTTCAGTTCTGGGAGCCACTTAGTAGCATGTCTTTGCACCTTTTCCAGTTTGTTGATGTGCTTCTTAAGATATGGGCACCACACAACAGCTGCATATTCTAGCTTTGGCCTAACAAAAGTCATGAACAATTTCTTTAGTATATCGCCATCCATGTATTTAAATGCAATTCTGAAGTTAGAAAGCATAGCATAGGCTCCTTGCACAATATTCTTTATGTGGTCCTCAGGTGATAGTTTTCTATCTAGAACCACTCCTAGATCTCTTTCTTTATCAGAATTCTT